GTGTTATGTTTTGTTGTGTTGTTCAAGTGATGTAAATAAACAACAAAATACTTACGTTTCCGGGAAAATTTCAATAGCTGACGACACCCTAAATTATGTACATGTATATGGAAAAAATGAAAATTACTTAAATAATTTGGGGTGTATACGTCACAATTGTAAACTTACTCATAGAAAAAAAAATTTTAATTTTCAAAATTTAAACCACAGTCTATCAATATATAATGAGCCATTACATAATTCTTAAATTGTGTTTTACGGTTTATTGTCAATGGTAAAACTGACATGATAAATTGTTCAAGTGCATGCCTCTTTTAATTAGTAAGATTTAAATCTGTGGAGAAACTGACACTTTTACAGAAACAAGTTTTTAGAATCTCACAAAATGTTATTAACGTCTGCATTAAATTGTCCGAATATGATCTGTAAAATCGGTCATAGTAATAGAAAGAGCACCGAAACACGAGGTTATCTGATTTGTACGAGGGGGCGTAGCCCCCGAGTATTAATCAGATTGCCGAGTGTTTTGATGTTCTTGTAATAGAAAGAGCATCGAAACACGAGGCTATCTGAATTATGCGAGGGGGCGTAGCCCACGAGTATAAATCAGATTGCCGAGTGTTTTAATGTTCTTTCTCTTTTGTATCATAGTCAAACATAAAAACACGTTCCCTGTTGTCACAATATGAAACCCCAGAGAAAAGTAACCAATGAACGAGCATCTAAATATGACATTTCTGTCGCTTTCACTTTCTCTGCCATCACAATAAGTAACCCCAAGCAAAAATGAGCCAATCAATGGGCATGCTCTGGAGTGCGGGTAGCTAATACCTGCACTCCAGTTAACGCACGGTGCATGTATATGTATACGATTTAACTCGGACACATTTTCAACAGAAAGGTCCCCAAACTATGATACAATCTCTTTTGTATCATAGTCAAACATAAAAACACGTTACCTATTGTCACAAAATGAAACCCCAGAAAAAAGGAACCAATGAACGAGCATCTAAATATAACATTTCTATCGCTTTCCCTTTCTCTGCCGTCATAATAAGTAAACCCCAGCAAAAATGAGCCAATCAATAGGCATGCTCTAGAGTGCGGGTCTCCAGTTAACGCACTGTGTATGTTTAAGTATACGATTTAACTCTGACACATTTTCAACTGAAAGGTCCCCAAACTATGATACAATTATATTCATCAAAGGTCTCCAAATCTACAAAGGTCCCCAAACTATGACACAATTATATTGTATCATAGTTTGGGGACATTTCAGTTGAAAATGTGTCAGAGTTAAATCGTATACTTATACATACACAGTGCGTTAACTGGAGTGCAGGTATTAGTTGCCATGTCCATTGATTGGCTCATTTTTGCTGGGGTTTACTTATTGTGACAGAAAAAGGGAAAACGATAGAAATATCATATTCAGATGCTCGTTCATTGGTTACTTTTTTCTGGGGTTTCATATTGTAGCAACATGGAACGTGTTTTTATGTTTGACTATGATACAAAAGAGAAAGAACATCAAAACACTCGGCAATCTGATCAATACTCGGGGGCTAGGCCCCCTCGTACAAATCAGATAGCCTCGCTCGTGTTTCGATGCTCTTTCTATTACTTAAAATCATCAACTTTCAGACGTATGATATATCGCTATACGGGCTCGGGCTTTAAATGCGTCGTCGTGATCTGTAAATGTTAATGCACAAAAAGCTGCAATAACATTCTTATAGGGTATTTCGCTGTCATGTATATAAAGTTCATTATAAGGCTTTGTGAATGTGTTGATTTCGGCACCTATATATAATCTATGCCGATGTCAGCCATGATGGCCAAAACATGACACTCAAATAAAAGTTAGAAAATAGTAAAATGACGTCTACTGTTACTTTATAACGAGTTTTGTTGCAGGTTGGTAAATGTTAATTGTAATCTTCCAGCACTTCTTTATAATATTTGAACTTTATATAGGTTAAAATGTTGTATTCATAACATACACGTTACATCAGAGAAACATAACTGGATGTGAAAATACTCTTGTCACTGCAAAAAGTCATCAATAATGTTCGCTTTTGTCACTGCAAAAAGTCATCAATAATGTTCGCTTTAAATGGTCAACAGTTGAAATTTTGTTTAAATACTTAAATTATTTAAAAAGTGGGTCTTAAAATTTTTACAGATAGGAGACATTTTCACTTTTGTAATCCTTCCCAATACCAAGAGTCGTTACTTAAATGGTCATTTATTGATCATGCGCGATGACGGAAAGGGGAACAACTTTGGCAGCAAATAAGAATAACTCTTGGGAACACGGAACTATAATTAATGTTTTGCTGGAATATGATTAACAAATTAGACCTGGGAAATTCAGTATACAATACAAGATCTTAGACGAAATTACTTGACCATAATAGACACTTTTACAGCAGAAGGAAAATTATACGATGTAAAACAATTTTGGAGACCCCCTGAAGGGATGTTAACAAGATAGAACATCACACGAGACTGCTATAATAACTCGACTCACTGCTAACATATTCTTTCCTACATGAAAACAGTTTAAACTAATACTGATACTTATTTTCTTACACTAATGAATGTAAAATACCATTTAAGTTAAATCTGATCTACTTTTTTATCATGGACTATTAAGGCCGAACATGTGGTCGACAATTCAGGCAAATTGGCCGCCTGTCATATATAAATACTAACACTAGATGTGTATATATACACATATAACATAATTATACTCAATGAAACATCATTTTAAAATATCTACATGTATTAAACTTTTTAATGTTTATGCTCTTTATATCAATTTTCATAAATAGAATATATTACTTATATAAAATTACTTTGTAAAGCAAGAGTCTGAATGAGAAGAAATTCCTTAAACACTTTCTCTTTCATTCTAATCCTGTTTTTTAAGAATATTTGAAATGCTTTGGGTATATTGTAAAGTAAAACATGTATATATATTCTGAGAAATATTTAAATCAAGAGCTGAATCAAAATATATGTATTCTCAATAAATTATGAACATCATTATTTTTATCTGTTTGTAAGATTTTTTTTGACGTTTTAACCGAAACTTTAGATATTAATCTAGGTTATTATCCTTCAATGAAGATATGTAATTATATAGTTTAAAGTTTGTATGAAATGATAAAGTGACGGTGAGGATCTACAATTGTTTTGAAGATATTTATAAATGTATATCAAATTTGAGTGTTTTTACCATACATTAATTACATGTATATCACTTACACATCAAGTGAAATGCTAATAAATAAGGTTTACATAGCTCCTGTGTGTGTGTAACATAAACATTCCAGTGCGGTTACTTTGTAAGGAGGATAGCTGAATATCATTTTGATTTGTGAACACAGTGTAAAGACGTTTTAACATATAATTATACATTGCTATAAGTCATCTGAATGTAGTACGGAGTAAATGAGTAAAACAGGGAAAAGTCCAATTATTCATTCACTTATTATTCATTCACTAATTATTCACCCACTAATTATTCACCTACTCTATTGACAATTTGAATATCTTTACCATACGAAATCATAATCTTGCTGGGTAAACTGATATGACTCCGAATTAAAGATGTGAATGCTTGTCTCTAAATTTCTAACAATTTCATCCAGCACATGGCTGTATTAAACAGACAAATTGATAAAACACAGAGGAAGTTCCTGTTAGAATCTAAACCCGTTTAAAACTGAAGCCCAGAGGAATCAATGTTTCTGACAATAACGCTCCTTCCACAGAATTTGATAGACGAACATTTTCTTATAGATGGCAACGGAATTGAAGTTTATTCGAAAATATATTTAAAGTACATGTAGTAGATTCGGCAAAACTTGCGACCAAACAGCCAAGCAAAGAATCTTGCTTTCCCTGCATAAATCCTAACTTAGTTACATCTTGATATTAAAATAAAGCACATTAACGACATTTAATGTTGAGCCCTGCTTTAATTTTATGTATATATATGTGCGTAATTCAAGGTGTAACCTACTTACACATGTACTGTATCCCTTTTATATAAATTATAGCTCAATGTCGTGGCAAATATATATAAGACAGTGAAGACGTTGAGCCATAAACGTAAGAATACCCATCAGGGGATAGGACTTTATATTTTTATTGACAAAATAAGACGAACTGTAGACATAGAAGACAGTGAGTTTTGTGAAGTAAGTATATAAACGTGGAGACATCAAGCGAGACATCTTCGGCCGTATGACAATAAATGTAAATTAAAACAATTTCTAAATCAATAGTCTACACTGTTTAAGAAAGAAAATGTGATACATGTATAATATACAGATATAAAACTAACAAACTTGTATCAGGGCATACTAATATTTCTTTGACATGATAACAAACAATAGTTTAGAGGAAAAACGAACAATTGTGCGGAAGCAGTGTTTTTTCTGACTTTTAGGGGAAGCAGCACAGCCCTGAGGTAAGGGCAAACTATGCGCAAAACAACACTTTTGGGAAACTTTTTGCAGTGCTTGAAATTGACCTAAATATGATGTATAAATAAGTATATAGAGTATTTCTTAGTGTCATTTTTTAACTGCATAATTGAAATAAAAATATTTATGTTATTTGCCGGAAGAAAATGTAAACCTTGATATTACAACATAAACCTTGATATTACAACATAAACCTTGAAATAAAAATCAGGAAATGAAATGTTCGATCTGTAGGAATGTCATAAACTACAAAACGAGAGAAGATCTGAAACCTGTAAACATCTCCTAGAGCTTAAAACTAAAAACAATGTACTATAGTATAAACATTTCAATATCATACATGGTGTAAATATAAATTAATGCTCATATATATGTAACTGAAAATGAGCTAAGCCGATTTATGAATATTTTAATCATCTTGTATGTGGCCCTTATACATATAGTCTCACCATATTTAATGCAAATTAATACATATAAAAGTTGTAAATGTACTGTTCTTACCTTACATAGATTACAATCGCCAGTGGTCGAGAACATATCTCCACAATCTATCCTTTCTAGAACATCTGTGAACTGACAGTACATTTTACGTAATTCCGCGTCTATTTCCTGTACACGGTTAATCACACGAGCACAACCGTTATCACGTGCACATTGCACACTGTGTCTTTCTTTTGACGATAATATATTATATAACGGAAGCCCACAAAAATCTGTACTAATATTACGGAGCAATTTTTCACGATCAACCCGTTTATTTGATGTTTCACAAATTTCTTCAACTAAGGTTCCAGTCACAGTAAGGCACTGCCCGGAAACAGCCGCCATATTGGTTTCATTGAATTGGGTCAAGTGTGGCGGCAGCGACACATTTAAGTTCTCTGAGCAGAAGCACGTGCAGCCCTTACACAGTAACAACATTGATATGATTATACTAAATATTGCAAGCTTTAATCTAGAATTTCCGAACAGTCTAGGCAACGAAAAAAGTGTTGACCTATTTGAACGATACGTGCTCTCTGACCTAGATCCGGATGGAAAAGGTATTTCTAGATACGGCAATGTATCCAATATTTGCAAGTTAACATCTCTACCGACATGGTATGTTGAACTGATACAGCTATACGATGATGGATGTTCGGTGATTTGATGATATTTGTACAATGTAATGTCGTCTAGAATCAGTTTATTGCGAGCAGTATCTGAGGTATATTGTGCATGAAATTTGTATTTCAACCCGCTTGGTTCGCTTGACAAAAGAGTGGACTGTTTTTGTACAGTAGGTTGCCAGCTTTGCCTCTGACATGGTTTATTCTCTAGCTTGATGTCTCCATGCCCACCTGTATTGACCATAGTTTCCAGGGTAACGATAATGCCACAGAGAACACATCCAGGTCAATTTTACAAGACTCCGTCATACCACGTGTAGTGTAGTGACCTCGATCTCCTGCCAACCACGTGATACAAATCTAAATAAACACATTAACTAGTGTTCTAATTCCTCTTTAAAAGTAAAATTCTTTCTATTTTAGTCGTCTACATATCTTACATTCACACTAAAAGAAGAAAAAATATATATGAAAACTTATCACATAGATAATTAACAATTTTATTGAAAGATGAAGATCCAATTTTTTTCGTAGAATCAACAGCTTCACATTTTAATTCCAAAGAATTTAGAAACACATTTATTCCACGATGAATACTTATTAATTTCTTGACGTTTCAGTCGTCTTTTTTCTTTTCACATACTTTCAGATGGACTATGTAATTAGATCCAAAACTCCTCACCTCTTCCTAGAAAAAAATATAAAAACCTTCCCGATAGTAAACGTTGCTGGCAAATTACTCTGCTACGTTTCCTTGATAAATAAACATAAATCCAAGCCTGAATTACCTGCAAATACACATATGCCTTCGGTATGCCAGGCCGTCGCTCCTAACAGATACTTTAATCTATTTACCTATACATCCACGCACATGCGATGCTCATTTTGCGGTGGAGTGTTCTTTATTGAAGTTTTTTTATTATTATTTACTAATCTCGCATGTACTCAATGATGCCTGCGAGTACAAGCGTTATATATATGTATATACATGTAGTTTATGACCTTGAAAAAATTAATCGTGAGCAGCGAGAAGACTTTAATGAAACAAAGTCTTTGGAGTAAAAGAAAATATCTAAGAAAATGAAATATTATTTAACTGTTCATTAAAATGGCACCTTAGTAACGGCGCTAGAAATAAATCAACGTAGGAAGAAAATGTGCGGTATAAAATATAATGCGAGTAAAAAAACGCACTAAATTTATCAATTTTCTTTTTTTCTTCTTGTATTATATGGAAAGGAACATTCGCCAATCTGTTACTCCTGAAACGGAAATGCTCAACAGACGACTTTGTGGTCTAAAGTCATCTTTATTTAAATGTTTCACTCAGACTTTGATTCTTAGTAGCATAGCATTTTCCCCTAATATTAATTGATTAAAATATGCGTTCCATTAGTTTCAAACGTAAAACAATTTTTTAATCAATAGAGCAACACTATTATTATTAAAACAGAATCCTTCAGATTAATATCGACAGGGAAGAAATAACTATAACAATTTACCATTCATGTTGCCTAGTAATCCAGATTAGAATATATAAACACGTATAAATCCAGACGTTTTACTGTAAACATTTTGCCCATGATTACAAATGATTGTCATGGAATATTCCCTCGGAATAGATTTCATGATAACTCTATATAGGAATTCGATGTTTAATTAATACATATATATGAATGAGACACGATGCTGTACTGATTTATCGTTTAGCGAAGAAAATCCACACCGTTATTAAATACATTGACTCGTTTGTATTGTAAATCAGAAAAAATGGTCAAGTTACCATAGCAACTTAAATATGAAAATAGAAATAAGTTCATTTAAAAACTAGGCGATTTTTATTTTCTCATATCTCTCACTGTTTGACATAATATTTATGCAAATAATAGAATCTCAAAGCGAATTTTTTATATATAAATCCAGACGACAAATGCATTAAAATTTTATCATATTACACTTTTCTCCTTCTCCAGAGTTTAACGGGCACCTGTGTTTCCAGTAAAACAATGCAGCCGGTCGCAAAGGACGTTTTTCACTTCATCCGTAATAATATCTTCTGGAATAACAGTTTGTATGCTGATGTTAAAATCACGTATTCTAATTCGAAAGCTAACACGCCAGCATCACTGAATAACGATAATTCATTGGCACAGATGTGAGAAATACATTCCGTTCATAATTTCCAACGGCTGTGTGAAGACTTTTTTAAACTTACATTTATTTGATCATATTTTTTTCACTTTTTCAACTTGTTGAATCCAATAACACCTCTTAGAGGTACCGCCATCTTGGTGGTTTCGAAAAACTCTTCTGATTCAATCCAAGTGATCGCGCATGCGCCGTGGATCTTGAAGTCTGATAATCTTTAGTGCACACTCTTCCCCTATTACTTATCAAAGAAGCTGATTTTATCTCTATCCGAGAGATCGTTAAATGACATTGACCGTTAGAAGGATATCTCTATCTTATTGTGCAGCATTCAGCCGAGGGCAAATGCATTCAGTTGAACAAATTTCCGAAAAACTAGTTTATCCGAAATGTTAATGAATCGTGAAATACAATAGCGAGAAACATTTTCCATCGGATTTTAGAGAAAATAGCAAACTAAATATGTAGAGAAAAAACATGTTATATTTTAAAAGAGCATTCCTAAAATTGTTTTGTCGATACACAAAACTAGTATCTCGTGGTTTGAATAGAGTGAACCGTTTCCGAGTGTACTTAACAGATAAATGGCTTTAAATACAAGCAACATGTATTTACACTCCCCCTCATACAGAGGGGAAAGCAATCTAACCCTACAAATTGATCAATAAGAACAAGAAAGAAAATCACGTCAATCGGTTATATGCAAAAATTCTTGAAACAGTAGTCAATATACGAGCCAGCATATCAGTTGTCACATGTTGTGTATGGCTTGTCTTAACAGATATAGTTTGTATAAATACTACATCATCACATCACGCACGATTCCTCGCTTATAATGTAAGAGACTGTTACCATCGCAAATCTGATCAAGAAAAAAAAAAGAAAAGAAAAAAGAATAATAACAATATAATGCTAATAAAAAAAAATGTAAAAATTATCACGTTGATTGAGAAATATTTCTAAGTCATTGATTTTGAAATTATAAGTTCTGGATGGTTAAAGAGACAGTTTAGTTATTTGAGGAATTTGAATTTGAGGAAAGTGTAATGGTATAATGAGTTCATACTGCTGTTATAGCTGACCTATGGCCAGACTTTATACCGTTGTCCTATCATATATGTGTGTATGCATGCATGTATGCATCCCAGCAAATATAGGACGTCATACTGACGTCAGATTTAAGTCAGGTTCTGACGACGGATGACGGTCGGAATCTAACCGGTTTCTGACCTTTTTCCGACCTCAATCTGACCAATTTTCGACCAGAATCTGACCATTATCTAACCAGTTCCTGGCCATTTTCCGACCTCAATCTGACCATTTAACGACCTAAATCTGGCTATTTTCTGACCTCAATCGGACCATTTTACTGACCATTATTTAACCGTTTCTGGTCACAATCTGATCTTTTCTCATATCTTTCTTGTTTTACTATTATGTTATAAATATTTTCTTGCCAATCAGATTTGGTAAAATTGTATTAAACTCATTCTATCAAGTAACCTCCACTCCAATGAAATGTATAACAAAAACAAAAACAACTAGAAATGTGTCCATAGGACACGGATGCGCCAACACTCCACTGTTTTGTCAATTTTATGACTCTAGGTCAAATATTTTTGGGCTACATGTGCCACAAGTTGAAAACTAAAAATCTTTTACTAAGTGAAGGGCAGAAACTTTACAAATACTGAATAAATCCATAAGTATTATCCAAGGTGCATAAGTACACATAGCCAACATTTTTGTTAAATTTCAGACCTACTGGTCAAATACTTTTTAAGCTATGCATGAACAAGTTGAAAATTGCAAATTTATACTAAGTCAAGAGATAGTCAAGGGCAATAACAGTATATACACCGCCACCTGTTTGTTTAGATTGCAGCGCCGCGCACTTGGCCTTGGGAAGGCACCTGTATATATTCCCCTAATGCCAAATAACATTTGGAAAAAAAACGTAAATGATTATAACAGTAAATTAGGATTTTTTGTTTGTTATATTTTTACTTGCCAACAGATAACCGACCAGAACCTGATGTTATTACAACGTCAAAAACAAACGTCTAATAGACATCGGTTTTTGGATGTCAGATTTACGTCGTATTTTGGTCGCTGACGTCACGACCAAAATCTAACAACAATCCGACGCCATTTTAACGTCATGTCTGACTTTAAATTGATGTCGTTGCTGTTCAGTAGCCATACTTTATACTGCTGTCATAGCTGGTCAGTGTCCTGACTGTATATTGTTGTCAAAGCTGGTCAGTGTGACCTGGCTGTATATTGCTGTCGTAGCTGGTCAGTGGCCTGACTGTATATTGCTGTCGTAGCTGGCCAGTCGCTTGACTGTATATTGCTGTCATAGCTGGTCAGTGGCCTGAAAGTATATTGCTGTCATAGCTGATCAGTGGCCTGACTGTATATTGCTGTCGTAGCTGGCCAGTCGCCTGACTGTATATTGCTGTCAAAGCTGTAACATGAGTATAGTCAGAAATACGTACAGCTTACACTCATTGCGTCGAAAATGTAACATGAGTATAGGAGTATAGTCAGAGATACGTACAGCTTACAAACATTGCGTCGAAAATGTAACATGAGTATAGTCAGAGATACGTACAGCTTACACATATTGCGTCGATGATGTAACATGAGTATAGGAGTATAGTCAAAGATACGTACAGCTTACAAACATTGCGTTGATGATGAAACTTGAGTATAGTCAGAGATACGTACAGCTTACACACATTGCGTCGATGATGAAACATGAGTATAGTCAGAGATACGTAAAGCTTACACACATTGCGTCGAAAATGTAACATGAGTATAGTCAGAGATACGTACAGCTTACACACATTGCGTCGACGATGTAACATGAGTATAGGAGTATAGTCAAAGATACGTACAGCTTACAAATATTGCGTTGATGATGAAACTTGAGTATAGTCAGAGATACGTACAGCTTAAACACATTGCGTCGATGATGAAACATGAGTATAGTCAGAGATACGTACAGCTCACATACATTGATTCAACGATGTGACACGAGTGTTGTCGGAGACACAATGGTACGACGTAACACGAGTGTGCAGCTGAGTATTGTTACGCATTTACACAATAATTACAGCTATATGTCCCTGTTATTTTCGTGCCCTAAAGGATCTTGTATGAGAGAAAATATCACCAAAATTTCCCAGATAACCGCAACTGTTGGCATTCAGAAAATGGTAATTTATCGGCCAGACACATTCTTAATAACGATGTTTACATACATGGTATTATAAAATTGTATGTGATCTTCTGGGTAAAAATGTAAATGATAACATTACTGATGATGGTAGAGACCGCACTATACGTACATGTATCCAACTTTACTTTTACCTCCACAAGAGACGCTATAGACTGGAATCCGAGACGCCATAGAGTGAAATCCGAGACGCTATAGAGAGAAATCCGAGACGCCATAGAGTGAAATCCGAGACGCTATAGAGAGAAATCCGAGACGCCATAGAGTGAAATCCGAGACGCCATAGAGTGAAATCCGAGACGCTATAGAGAGAAATCCGAGACGCCATTGATTGAAATCCGAGACGCCATAGAGTGAAATCCGACACGCCAAAGAGTGAAATCCGTGACGCTGTAGAGTGAAATCCGAGACGCCATAGAGTGAAATGCGTGACGTCATAGAGTGAAATCCGAGACGCCATAGAGTGAAATCCGAGATGCCATACAGTGAAATCCAAGACGCCATAGAGTTAAATCCGAGACGCTATATAGAGTGAATGCGAGACGGTATAGAGTGAAATCTGAAACGCTATTGACTGAAATCCGAGACGCTATAGGGTTAAATCGAGACGCCATAGAGTGAAATTCGAAACACTATAGTGTGAAATCGAGATGTTATAGTGCCAAATTTGAGATGCTATGGAGTGAAATCTGAAACTGTTAAATATGAGACGCTATAAATCCATGCAGTAGGGCACAGAAGAAAAAAATTAAATCTGTATTTAACAAGATACATGTAGGTATACAATGTATAAATGTTGCTCCGTTTATTTGTTATGTCATATTTTAAAGCATTTTGCTTAACGATAATCTATATATGAAAGTAAATGAGAAATTTTATAAAGCAAACATCACCCACCCCCCCCCCCCACCCCAAATAATAATTGTCTCTATTTTCAAGTTACTTTTGTCGCAAAATTTTGCTAATTTAATTTACGTTTAAACAATATATTAGTTATGCTGCTTAAAGTTTGTATTCGGTAGTGAAGCAGCTTCAAATAACTTGACTTTATAACTTCAAGACACGTCACGAGCCTAACGCATATTATATAGTAAAGCGCAACAACAAGAAATATACATGTATAACCAATTTTTCCAACATCGTATCAGCGTATTGACCATTCAGAACCTCATTGTTATTTTATTTTGGCCTTAAATAAAAAAAAACTTAAAGCTTGTGAGGCATGACTTTGAAGGGATGACATTACGAATGACTTCACGCACGTTCTTACTGTTAAATAAACATAAAACGTCTTCGATTATTTCGTATACATAACAACAGATTCATATCGCTTATTTATTGTTTTCAGCTTTGTAAATGATACGATCTCGCATCAAATATCTAAATTAATACTCACAGATGTTCTGTTTTTAGTTCAACATAATATTTATATTCATTATGTAGAACATTTTTCAGGAAAAAATAACTTTTGGACAGCATACATAAAAAAATAAAATAATACTCATATTGTTATTTGTTTGTTTGTTTGTTGTGTTTGAATAAAATTCAGCATAACCATGGAAAAAATGTATTTCGTGCACGCAACAGGCGTATATCCATCACTTAAATCCATCCAGTATAATGTTTTATATAGCGATATATTCTTCGTAACTATATTTGAAGATGACCATTAAATGCGATCAACGACCATATCAAGTTTAACAATTCTACCAATACAGACTACTGGAGTTCCTCGTGAAATAAACAAATAAAATGTTCGATAAATTTCTGACAGAGTAAATATGATAAAGCCGTACGAGTTACCGTTCGTTGAAAAACACTAGGGGATAAATTCAGTTAAAATAACAGAAGCCATATCACGGTATCGGACCGTACACCGGATGTAATTGTGTTTTGAGTCAAATAAAATAAGAGAAAATTACCAGAGGTAAGAAATAATCGATTTCTCAGTTCTTATGACATTAATTTGGCCAATTTTATTTTATTTTTCCCCTTCTAAGTACAAAAAAAAGTTTCATCATGAATCAACAGCTTTCTAAAATGTTTCCTCATATAGTCACTTATGTAAGATACCCCACAGCAGCAAAAAATGCATGCGACATATAAAATCTGTGAACAAAAGTGAGTATAAAGTGAGCGGGTAAATGGGGGAAAAAGTTATGATTTGACAATGTAAATTGTTTAATGAAAAAAAGATATTTATTTCACACAACCATTGAACTTCCAGCGTTTTCGAATTCGCCAGTGAATTCCCATTTTTAATCGTTATCGAATCCAAACAATTTGTTCCGCATTTAAAAATCCATATCAAATCACTGTTGTACTCCATGTAACCTCGTTTTCATTTTTTTGTGTCCAAAACAATCCGTATTGAATCAGCTTCGAACCCT